CATTCCCTCATTTCCTGCGTTTCATCATTTTCATTTGGTTGTTAACAAACAACCAAAGAGTCACAGAACTTCATACAATTTTCATTATATCCAATTCTCCGTCCCCCTCCTGTGGCCTTCTGTGGTTGCAATACATATCCTATTTATCATGGAAGCAACAGAGAAAAGTATCCCTGTCTGTCAGAAAACTTTTGGTGCAAAGAGATGGAATAGAGCCCAGAACTCTGTTTCCCAGACTGCAGGCTGATGCCAGTCCTTTGAGAAAAGAAGGCGGCACAAAGGCCACTACATAGCAGGGGAGCAAGGAATGAAAAGGTCAAGAGGTTTGCTGCCTGGTTCTCTCCTCCCAAGCTGGGGAGCACTGACGATAACACAGAATAACCAAGGGAACACTCAGAGACAAGTAGCCACTGTAAATGTATTCTAGAGCATCAAAATCCTACGCAGCAACAATCTCCCATTTAACAGAAAGAGCTCTGCAAATAAGAATCATTACACATACTGCAGATCACAGGCTCCAGGAGAATAACAATAATGTAAAGCACATTCATTAAAACATATTGAATGTGACCCTCATCTTAAGGTTGCATTCTTTGAAAAATAATTCAGCACTGTGCCATGCCTGTGCCAATAACCATTATACAGGGTTGATGACAAACAGCAGGCTGGGCCAGACTGCTTAGGTAACTCTGCTTTCTGCAGTTTGTGTTTGAGGTAGGAGATTATATTTACAGGGAAGTAACATTAAAATGCCCCCCACTACCCCAAAAAAGAACTGTAAAATAGTTGATAAGATTTAAAAAATGAAAGTTGAAACACCAGCTAGATAGGAAAAAAAATGAGCACTGACTTACCAGATACCCAGCTGGGAAAAAAAGTTGGTTGGATAGTTTTTGGAACCAATAATTGAGCCAATGCATAAATTCATCACACAGCTCTCTTCCTGGTACCCAAGCACGTGCACGCGAAGCCTTTATAGTAACTGGCTTCAATTTTCCTGCACCCCCTGTTCTGACATCACGCCCTCCTCTTTCCCATAAGAATATAATCCAACATGTTTGATACTTGGCATGGAATCAGCCTAAATTCCAAGGCCCAGTCTTCCAGGGTGGCAATCTCAGTGCCATCACATACCATCTCTATGATGTGATCCAAGTTATTTAATATCACCATGTCTCAGTTTCCTTAGGTATTATGGAGCTAGTAATACAAAATGCAGGAAACATGTGTAAGGATTAATGAGTTTACATGAATAAAACATTTAGAATAATGATAAGCTACATGTGCTATTAGAGATAAAGCATTTCTTCAGTACATGCATACATTTTAAATTTATTGAGCAATCAGTACATTTTATTGGGCTATACAGATCCATTTCTAGTCTTTAAAACTGAACATGGTGACTCTATAATCCACTCTTTTTGCTATAATGTTTCTATTCTTCTGCAAAGTTTACCTTAGTATACCACCACATACACTAGATTTATTCACCAGTGATACAATTAAGTTGCCTATAACCAAAGCACTGCTAGCACTGCTGGTAAAACACATTCTTTAAAACTAGTGGTTCTCAAACTTTAGTAAACATGCTATGCTGTGCTGGTTAGAGGATAGATGGCTTGTGCCCTTAGTTGGTCTGGGGTGGAGCCTGAGAATTTGCATTTCTAAGACATTTCTTGGTGATGCTGAGCCAGGCCCAAGCACCACACATTGAGAACCATTGCTATAATGCATTTAGACAATTTCTTTCTGAGTCTTATCCACAAGAGGATTGCTGAATCATAGAATACCTACACATTTAATGCCATTGAATGGCCCTCCAAAAGGCTGGTCCGTTTACATTCTCTTTGAAGATTGCAGGAATGCTCTCTATAGCCTAGACAGGCATCATATTATCTAGCTTCTAATTTTTGTCAATCTTATGACCATGAAATAATTTCACAAACTCCTCTCAGGTAGGTAGTCATCATTGTATATACTATTTGGATTCCTCGTCCATGAATTTCCTTTTCATATCATATCTCTACCTACATTTCATTTGTTTCTGCTTTTTTATTATTTAAAAAATTCCTCTATAGCTTAGATGCTAACCAATTTTTGGTTTATAATGTTGCAAGTCTTCAGCTTATTCTGCACTGCACAAAAAATAATGTTCATATAAGCAATCCATTAATAATTTTACATCACTTTTTTTGTTTAAGGTTTTATAATTTCTTACTTTTTATTCTTGTAAGTTTTGTTTCATATTTAATAATGATCCCAATTTATCACTTCTATTTAGTGGTTCTAATCCTAACACCATCTATTGAACAATCCATCCTTACCTCCAGGTCTATTTTTAAGGACCTGGTGAACTTTCTTTCTGATGTTAGAACCATTCTGCTTGGCATAGAGTTATACTTTATAGCGTGCAACTTTAAATTGTTTCTCAAAAAGCTGTTATTTCCCAAAAAGTCCAACTGAAATTTTAATTAGAATTACATGGAAGTCTAGATTAATCTGGGGGATATTCTTTCTATCCTTGGTTCTTAAGCATTTAAAAAATTCTTAGACACTTTATTAAAGACATAATTTTCCCATTTATAGAAGTTATCATGTGATTTTTCTCTTTTAGCCCTTTAATGTGTTAAAACCAACTCACAAACTTTAAGCTCTCTGCATTTTTTTTAAGGATTTATTTTTATTTATTTATACATGCACTGGGTACAGTCAGAAGCGCGGGAGAGTGAGAGAATTCACCAGAGCCAGAGCAGGGAGCAGAGCAGGCAGAAGGACCGAATACACTGCTGAGGGGAGCAGCGGGCGGCAGGAGAGGTCTGCGCGCCATGTGGGACCCTCCTCCGGTGGCCGGGGAGCAGCCAGGGATTGAACCAGCGCTGCAGAGGCCGCGCGCAGCTTCGCAACCCAGCGCTCAACCGCTGCGCCACCGGGGAGGCCCTGCATTCTTGAAATTAACTACTTTATTATGATGTACTTTTCCTGTTATATTACTGGATTCATCTGGGTAATATTTTATTCAAAATTTTAGAATCTATGATCAAAAATGAAGCAGGCTTACAGATACTTTTTTCGCTCATTACTCTTGTAATACTTATTGGAGTCAGCATAATGCTCAATGAAAGAACTGGTTTGCCATCCCTTTTCTGAGTTTTCAGAACAAATTGTTTAGTTGAAATCTCTTATGATGTCAATTGGATGCAATTGCTTTTAATAATTAGGAACGCTCTACAATTAGCATTTAAATTTATTTACTGGTTATTAATCTTGTTAAGTGTTCTATTTTGACTGCACCAATTTGCATATTTTTTCCTTCCAGAGCTGGTACAGGTTTGGAAATTCATTGATATATAAGTTCATAGTTTATTTTATTTTAATATATTACGATGTACAGTTATTTCATCTTTTTAGGTGAAAATTTTGTTTGACTGAAGTATCCCTCTTAATTTACTAGTCACTACTACCAGAATTTTACCTCTCCCTCCCTTTTAGTAAAAAATCTTTTCAAGCACCATGCTTTTTGTTTTGTTAACCTTATCTGTTTTTTTCCTCTTCTTTTTCTTTCCTCTATTCTTCTGGATTTGATGTTTGTCCTCCTCTCATTTATTGAGTTAATGCTTATCTCACTTTTCTATTCTTTCTTTTTATGATTTATCTTCTAGAACAGACAATTAGCTCATTCAAACCTGCCTCTGATCTCCTGCCCCACCTTCACACTGATATATCAATAGCACCTAAAATTACAATTCTGGATTGTTTCTGATGTAGTTGTATTCTTTTGTTTCACTCCACTATGGTCTTGAATTTAGTTTTGTTGGTGAGAAGTCCACTGCCAATCTGAGTACTGACCTATTCTCTAGATCATTTCAAATTTTCCACATTGCCACTTATATCCTTAAATTGTGCGGTTATGGGTTTAGCTATGGGACTTTTTCTCTCAGGTATTCTGTTAGTCCTTTTGACATGAAACTTTTCAATGTCTCCTACCCTGGGAGGCGCACTTTATGCAAGAGATATAATTTCTATTATCCATATCACTTATAATTTACTTTTACATTTTCCTTCTTATCATTTGCAATACTTTCTAGGACAGTTCCTGTGACCTTCATCAGCTCTTCAATCATTTGTTGAGTTCTTAATATCAGCTGTTCTAGTTTTCCTACAGAACAGCACCAGCTGATATACAATCTAAGCTCTAGTTTCTATTTCATATGGTAAGGGGCACACTCAAGAGTCACCCAATGTTCTTGCATCTTTGCTTCTCACCTAGTACAGGAGGAAGAGAGGCTCTCTAATATTAACTTACCAGCCTACAGCTGGTACGGAGCTGCTCTCATTTGAAGAGGCAAAGTGGGCAACAGAATTCTACATTGTTCCATCTTCCCTCCATGCTACCCAGCTCTCCTCTGCTTTTTCTTCATCAACCCCCCAATTACTGGGGTCCAGTCACCTTCTACTGCTCCAGGGGGTTCTTAAAGCTATACATGGTCATTGTTTGTTTGTTTTCATAGATAGCTATTAACCTCCCTCTAGGGTCTACCACATTTCTGGGATAGAGGTCTGGAAAAAAAAACAACAGCTCTTGATTTCTATGTCATCTTGTTAGAATAGGAATTAACAGTGATTTCCAGAAATTGAATTATAGGATTATCAAGGAAGAATGCATTTTGCGGAAAACAATGTCTTGTTTTAGGATGTGAAGGCTTCATTCTAGAAGGAATAGAGTATCAGGAAGCTGGCTTCATGGGGAAATAAAATGAACAAAAAGGCAAAGAAACTATCTGTGAAAATCTTTAGCTCCTATATTGGAATTCTTATATCCAGGAGCTTAAAGAGTGCAGAGATGGCAAATTCTTTCATCTCCATCCTCTCCTTTCTGGGATACACTCACTTTATGCTATAAAAACAGACACACTCCTGTGACTAATTTCCAGTTTTCAGTATCAAATTAAACTATGCACTTATTTACCTTTTAACCTTCTTTTTTTGGCTCATTCCCTCAGAATCAACCTACCGACACCAAGCAACTATTGATGATGAAGTTGTTACCATGGAGATACTAGACACAGCTGGCCAGGTAAATAAGGAATTTTCAGAATCAAATCTAACATTTTCAGAATCAAATGAAAAATTAAATGATATAATGTGAACAAAGCTAAGATAATTTCCTACAACTAGCTAGTGATACCTAAAGACTTTTTTCTCTAATTATCGACTTATTTTTTATATCAGTGTATTCATAACTGCCTGTGTATGTACCCTTATAATTACCCAATACTTAAAGGAAATTTTGAAAATATTTTATCATCACATGACATTAATTAAAGTAGAATTTCTCACCTAAATTTTGTAGGATAACAAGATATTAACAGATTTTCATTATTAAATGTGTTTAGAAATGTTCTATACAGTTATCTTTAATAAAGAGGGTCTCAGAGTCTTTAATGTGCTATGTTTTAGGTGAGATTCACTATATATTACATTTTAAACTTATATGACCTCAGAATCATTTTTTCAGAACATTTTAGAAGTCTCTCCTCTAATACTCTTTCTATGCCTTACCACATCCTATTGAAAATTTGAGCCACATCATTGAACAGCACCAACAACTAATTTTAAAATTGTGGTTACCAGGGGAAGGGGATAGGGTGGAGGAATAAGTAGAAGGGGTCAACAGGATAATAGTGGATAATAATTAGACCTTTATTTGGTGGGTCTGGTATGATATATAGTACATACACTGATCAAAGTGTAAAACTATACTTCTGAAGTTAATATAATATTATAACCAATGGTTCCTCAATAAATATATATATATATATATTTTTAGCAGGGGGAAGTATGTAAGTTTGATTAGAGGTTAATCATTTTGAAATTACAAAAGGATTCACAGAGGAAAGAAAGTCAAAGCATTGAGGATTTCCAGGAAGCTTTACCAGTGAACTATATTCCCAAGAACATTTGAATTGAATTATTTAATCCTAGAAATGTTCTTGCAACTAATCATACACTTTCCTCCTTGCCATATATGCTCTCACCTTCTGATACACCAGTGCTTAGTGCTTCTAAAATAAGAGGCAGCAGGATGTACATGCCGACAGAAATCATTTGAGTCAATACAAGCAATGCATTTTCAAATCACTCATGTAACCTCCCTAGGAAAGAGTGAGAATCTCGTCAATTGAATTTCTATCATTATTGAAACTGCACTAGTTTGGGAGAGTTGGCATAAGAAAAAAAAAAAGGCAAAAACCCCTTTGCTTTTACTTTCTATCCAATTTTTTACTGCTCTTTTTGTTGTGTTGTTGTTTTGCCATGGTCCCTACTTATCTATCATCTGAAGAGAAAGTAGATTAAATCAAAAAGCAAACCATTTCTCTACACTGTGCCTCTAATTCTGATCTCTAAAGGGTGGGGTAACGGCTACTTGTTCACTGCAAATTTGCCAATTCATTTATAGTGATGAAAGTCTTAGAGGCAATGTTCTCAAGTAAGTAATTTATAGTTCCATGACTGCAGATTTAAAAACATGGCAAGAAACAACTGGAAACAGAAAGTTAAAACCTTAACAATTATAATCATTTTCCTTACCTGAAATAGCTTGCTAGGAGGAAGTAATGCTTCTATTCTAAACTCACAGAGAAGCTTAGTGTGGCCAGGCAGATTAGCTAATCTAATGAACATACCACTACTGAACAGAATAGTGAGTGAGGCATCACTGCCAGCATTAGTAGCATGTCCACACCACAATGACTTCTGGGTCTGCTGACTGCAGTCTATCCTTGCCAACAGGAAGACACCATACAGAGAGAAGGACACATACGATGGGGGGAAGGTTTTGTGCTGGTCTATGACATTACTGACCGAGGAAGTTTTGAGGAAGTTCTGCCACTTAAGAACATCCTAGATGAGATCAAAAAGCCCAAGAATGTGACTCTCATCTTGGTTGGAAACAAAGCTGACTTGGACCACTCCAGACAGGTTAGTACAGAAGAAGGGGAGAAGCTGGCCACAGAGTTGGCGTGTGCTTTTTACGAGTGTTCTGCCTGCACTGGAGAAGGGAACATCACGGAGATATTCTATGAGCTGTGCCGGGAGGTGCGTCGCAGAAGGATGGTCCAGGGCAAGACGAGGCGACGCAGCTCCACCACACATGTCAAGCAAGCCATTAACAAGATGCTCACCAAAATCAGTAGTTAGGCAGCTCTGTGCTGGGGGAGGCCCTGCTAAGACAGGTCAGGTCATTGGAAACACTCTCTGGTCCTCCCATTTTTTTCTCCTCCCCCCACACCCCGCCAAAAACCCACTCCTTGTCCTCTGGGAAGTATCTCTGCTTCCCATTATCTCCGCCTCCCACATGTTAAAAAGATATAGAGTGTTTTATGCAATGTCAATGCTGCCAATTTCTCCCTTTGCTGCTTGAATATACTTTAATGCAGTTTAAAGTTGTAATTGCCAGAGATTCTGAAATGGCTGGGTTCATATTAAGCTATTATTAGGCATCTTCACCTTGCTTTGATAGAGTAAAGTCTTTTCAAAGGCATTTTTAAATTTCATTCCTTGTCAAACTACAAATGATCATCTTCAAAGTCTAAGATAATAGAAAATAAAATAAAACACAGGAGGGTTGCTGAAATATTAGAGCAGGGAATAAAGCTTTCTAAGGCTCCTATTTGAAGCAAGGATTTTCTGAATTATCTTAAATCATCGAGTTTTTCTTTAACCTTTATTTTGTTCTTAAATTCAAACGTGTTCTCACAAGGTTTCCTATGGTAATAGAGCATCCCATTTCAATTTGCATTGGTTCTCTCGATGATGTATTGATCTTTACACTGTCATTCTTCTTCTTAGGCTCAAATAAGATTTAATTATAATAGATATAGCAGAGCCCATTAATCCAGATCCCGATAGGAATTTCTTAGCAAGCCTGGGGTGATGTGAAGACATTAGAAATGCTTTCACTGAACCCTATTTTACTGAATGCTAATAGGAGATTTGGAATCAGAAATACCAAAGTCATTTCTCTCTCTGCTTAACAACCTAGAAGACAGACAACATTCCACAAAACAAGAAAACAAAGAACAAAGCTTAATGACTCTTTCACGGGGGAACCAAGGCTTTGTTATGTGCCAAGCATGGTAAGACAAACTTAGCCTTTAACTCATTAAGTTGACCACAGGTCCTTTTTTAATGTTCTGGATAGATTAATTCACTTCCTTGAATTCAGAAAAGAATGGGTGATTTAACTTCACTGTACCTGAATAAATATGTATGAAACAGATTCTTATATTGTTAAAGTACAGTCTAATTAATAAAACCCTGTGATTCTTTTTTTCCCCTATTTTGCTCCCTGTATATCAAGATTTAGGCACTTTATTTTAGAAGAAAATATATATCTTTTACATATGTGTGTATTTATAAATGATAGATATATGTATAAAAATTTGTATGAGTTGGATGCTTTAATTCACCAATGCATTTAAACAACTTGGTGTAACTATTTTATGTGAATATAATAAAAATCATAATTTTCACATTCTGTCACATTCTAGCATTTTTTCTTTTTATAGCATAAAAGTTTGTCATTTATGAGAGACTTGAGGATACAATCAATTGCAGAATTGATGAATCAATAAATGTGATATAAAAAATAAGCTCCTTGATCATATACTTTAGGCATTTACTGTATTATCTTATCAAATCTTCACAATGATCCATGTAAGAGATATTAAGTACTATGATCAAAATTATAGGAATGAAGATATTGAGCCACACAGATAGACAAGTATGCACAGCTATTTAGTGAGGACAGCCAGGACGTGAACTCAAGAGTGTAAGTCAACCCAGAGTCCATAATACGACCTACTGACATATATTAGTAGACTGAGAAGTGGTTCTGTTCTTGAGCTATGGGGATGAAAACACAGGAAGCAGAAAATCTGGTAAATGAGCTTCATTTTGTTAATATTCATTAACAAATATTTTACATGTGTTGGACATATAGTTTGCCACAAGTTAGTCACTTGATGGTGTGTGTGCTGAACCCTGAAGAACATACATAAATTTCTAGGCGAGGGGCTCCCCTGGTGGCTCAGTGGTTGAGCACTGGGCTGTGAAGCTACACGCAGCCTCTGCAGTGCCGGTTTGATACCCAGCTGCTGGCAAGGGTCCCACAAGGCGCGACAGACCTCTCCTGTCTCGCCCGCTGCTCCCCTCAGCAGTGTATTTCATCAGTCTGCCTGTTCTGTTCCCCACTCTGGCTCTGGCAAATTCTCTCACCCTCCCACGCTTCTGACTGTACCCAGTGCTTGTATAAATAAATAAATAAAATCTTTTAAAAAAATTTTTTCTAGGTGAAAGAAATAACATGGAACCAAAACATGTAGACATGAAAGGTTATGGGGAGTACAGTAATTTAAAGCAGTTTAGAAAGCTACATATATCATCCCCCAAATAAATAAAAAGGGAAAGAGAACAGAGAGAAGGAACTGAAAAGAAGAAAAAGAATAAGGAGTCTGGAAGAAAAATGCCGAAAATTCATTAAACTAGAAGTTTAGGTAACAATATATTAAAGGATCACATAGGTAAATTTAACAGTGATTTATTTTCAGAAATGTCCATTTAGACAAGAGGGAAAGGAAAGAAGAGTAAAATTGTATTCTAATGTTGTTATCATCTAGAATCACAGTCTATTTCATTCTCTCATATCATCACTTGGGGGTGAAGCTCAGCTAGTTCCTACTAAAAGCAATCTCTTAAGGAGACAATGTGAAATGCCTGACTAAAGTGCCAACTGAGGTCAAACACTAAGAAAGTAAAAATCATAGTCACAAACAGCAGCAACCTCCTTGAACATATGTACACAAATCCAGACCTGTTAAAGCATCATAGAAACACTGGCCAACTCCCAACTGGTAGTTATAGAAGAACATGAGATTGCACAAATATAAACTAGTTATTCCTCTCATGCACCAGCCTCCACAAATGAAAGCACAGCACTTTAAAGCAGTATTTCACTGATGTAAACCTGCGTGTTCTTAATAATAATGATGGGTTATCACCATATCTCCCATTACCAACATTTGCTGTTTGTAGTTGCTTTCATTTTCTCCTAAGATTCAAGAGTTTCTCTCTAACTATTGGATCTGTACTCACATGCCTCCCAGCACGGAAGGAAAGAACTCAAAATTCACCTATGGGTTGCAATGGGATTTCACAACCTCCAACTAGGCTCCCAAAGTTCCCATGTTGGCACTTTTATGCAAGGGTGAATGCTAAATTGTAGTTGTTGAAGGGAGAACATGTATGAAGGACGTCTTACTTGGTTATCTTATAACGTTACTTCTTAACAAATTAAGCTGTATTTATTTGAAGGCTTAATTTACCTTCAGTAGGGATAGAGTTTGGGGTTTTTTTTTCAGTGTGAAAGTGTATTATTTGGGCCTCCCTGATGGCACAAGGGGTTAAGTCTCAGCACTGTGAAGCTATCAGCAGCCACTGCAGCAGGAGTTTGAACATTGGCCAGCGAGCTGACCCACACGGCGCAGCAGACCTCTCCTGCCTCATCCACTGCTCTCCTCAGCAGTGTATTTCAGTACATCTGCCTGTTTCGCCCCCACTCTGTCTCTGGTGAATCCTCTCACCTTCTGCACCTTTGGCCTACACCCCAGCTCTTATATGCATAAATAAACAAAATAAATCTTTTATTAAAAAAGTGTATTATTCATCTAGCCATGATGGAGTAACAGGCACCAGATTTATTCTTGCATATAAAACAAGACACAATCAGACAAAATATATGAAACACAGTTTTCAGACATTAAGCAACAAGCAGAATGGCACTGTGATCTCTGAAAGAAGGGGAAGAAAGGAGGCAAATTCTGCAATCCTGCCAGTCAACTGCCAAACATCAGGTTCTAGGAAGCAGCACATTCCCAAAGAGAGCCTGGCAGGCTCACTAAATTGAGGAAATAAAAATCATAGTTTGGGGAGGTCAAATTGACAAGAATCTGTGGGATAAAATGCCTGGGAAAAGGGAGCTTCACAGAGAAAAAACTCCAAAGATCTTCAGGTAGATTTCCTTCAGTCTTGCATTGACTGTGGATCTCTGCATGGTGAGAGAAAATTTACAGAATGTTGGAGGAAAAAGCACTGATAAGCAAGAGAATGAAAATTTGGGAGAACAAACACAGGACTAGGAATAGTTTATAACCCTGCCAGCCAGGATACAATACAGAGGACATCAAGTAATGCATAGGATCTAAAAAGGACATTGTATTAGTTGAGTCTAAACTAGTCCTAGATCCAACTGCTAAATATCTGACTTAAGAAAATTTAAAAGCAAGTCTGAAAGTTTTCAAACTGAGTTCAGGTAACTTGTATAATAGAAAAAATACTCAACACATTATACAAAAGTATACAACAAAGTCCTGCATCAAACAAGATAAAATTTGTAATGTCTAGTATCTAGACAAAAATTGCCCTGGCATCATGCATGTTAAGAAATAGAAAAATAAAATCCACAAATAGGAAAAAAAGCAATCAATAGAAACAGATCAAGCAATGCCAGATGATAGCATTAACAAACAAGTAACTTAAGACAGTATTATAAATATGCCCCATATGCTCCAGAGGCAAAGATAGTCATGAGCATTATGAGAACAGAAATGAAAGCTACAAAAGAGACCAAATGTAACTTCTAAAGATGGAAGTTATCATCTGAAATAATAACACACAAAGATTAACATCAGAGTCCAAAGAAATGACTGGTGAACTTGATTACATAGCACTATAAATGATCCAAATATGAAGTAAAAAGAGGGGGAAAGATGAAAAAAAAATGAACAAAGGATCAACCACCTCTGAGACAAAAATTAAACAATATATATATATATATATATATATATATATATATAACTGAATTCCCAGTAATAAAAGAGAGGGATGGTGGGACAGAAAAAAACTATTTGAACAAATAATGAATAGAATGCTCTGAAATTATAAGCCCATAGCTCCAAGAAATGCAACAGACCTCATAAAATAAAAATCAGAGAAAAAGACACCATGGTACATCAAAATCAACTCCTGAAAAGTGACAATCAAGTGAGTTGTAAACATAACCAAGGGTGGAGCAGGTGGAAACACACACTTACAGAAGAAGAAAATTATAAATGGTAAAATGTAGTTATATTATTTGATGGTGGGGAGTGATGAGTTCAATGTGTATATTGTAAATCTTTGAACAGCCACCAAAAAATATAAAAGATATCTATCTAATAATTCATAGTGCATATGAAATCAAATCACAAGAACTGATTCAAAAGAAGGCAGGAAAAGAGAAAATAAAAGAACATAAAACAGATGAGATAAACTGAAAACAAAGAGCAGGATGGTAGCTTTAAACTTAATCATATCTATAACTATATCCAATGTAAATGGTCTAAACACTTTAATTACAAAACAGATTTTTTGAGTGAATAAAACAAAGGCCACCTATGTGCAATCTATAAGAAACCCTTATTAAAAGCAGCTATCGTCGGTTAAAAGTAGTTTTACCTACTGACATATAAACCACGTAAACACTAATTAGAGGAAGTTAGAAAGTTGCATGGATATCACACAAGGACATTGTGTTAGGAAATTTTCAAAAGAAGAAAATTAACAGGAATAAAGAGACAGTCCTTTCGCTAAAGTGAAAACAGCGATTCAAGAAGGGATAAAGTTTCTAACTGTATATGTACCTCATAACAAAATTTCAAAAGAAAAAAAGAAAAAATTATAGACATGAGAATTATAGAAATAACACCTCATCTCTCTCAATAACTGATAGAAAAAAGAAACAAAAATAATGAGTAAGGAAGATGTAAACAATGTTATCAATAAACTTGACCTAATTGAAATTTACAGAATACCACACTGACAAAGGCAAGATACATGTTCTTTTCAAGTGTACACAGAACACTTATCAAGCTAGAGCAGACTGGGTCATAACATAAAAGAATCTACATTATGCAGAGTGGTCTCTGACTTTAGCAAAATTAAAGTACAAGTCACGAACACAAAGATAACTGGGAAATAGCCCAATATTTGGAAATTAAACAACACTTCCCAAATAACCCAAATAATCCAAAGATCAAAGAAGAAATCAAATAACAAGTTAGAAAATGTTCTTAACAGAATGAAAATAGAAACATAACACATCACAATTTGTGGGCTACAACTAAACCAGTGCTTAAAGAAAAATTGCTTGCACTTATTTCTTAAATTAGAGAAGAAAATAAGTCTAAAATTAACACATCCCTCTGATACTACCAGTAATCTGTTAGAAAACCAGAAAAATGACCTTATAAGAAGAGAAAACCACAAACAAATATCATTCATGAACATAGAAACAAAAACACTTACTAAAAGTTTAATAACTCAAAAACACACATATCAACACATGTATCACAGCCAATTTATACCAAAGTTGCAAGCTTAATTTAACACTCAAAAATCAATT